TAGTTAATAATAGATAAGTATCGATATTTATTTATACATCATTATAATTCAATAATAAATAAATATCGATAAATAGCACATAAATCAATATATATCAATAATTTTCAATCGATAAATATTGATTAACTGCTATTTATTGATTCATAACCTATAAAAAAGTTTCCCAATGGTAAGAAAAGGAGTTTTAAGAATAATATATTGTAAATAGATAATATAGAGAAAATTTATCCTTGAATGTAAATAAAAGTTTTATTATAAATAAAAAGCTTTTTGCCTAGATGAAACAAGTAACAAGTATGAGCAATATGCCAAGTAAATACCTTTTTGTCTAATAAACTTAAGTATTAGACCCATATTAAAAGTAAAACTATAACCCAATCTAAATCTAAACTATTGCTAAAACACTTGTTATCTATATTATCTATTTGTTTATAAATCATCTAACCACATTTTGTTCATTTGCTATAAGTCATATGACCAAGCTATTAACACAAAAGAAGGACTTTACCTGATTTAATATTTTGTAACCTTAGGTTAAAGAAGTAAAGAAAGAACAAAAGAAAGTAAAGATTAATAAAAGGATAGGTTGAAAGAAAAAAACAAAAAAAAAAAGAGTACTTACCTACAGATAAATTACCTACCCAAATCTAGCACACTTATTTTAACTTAGCCATTATAGGTTACATAAGAATTGGAAAGAATTAGTGACAGATTCACTGATTTACCAAATTATACTATATTATTGAATATTAGTAACTATTATAACAGAAGGTATTTTTTTAATATTATTAAATATCAGTAAATGATATAATTATTTATAATAAATTACTTTTAAAATTTTAAAAAAATATAGTATTATATTTTATATATATAAAAATCTATAATTTATTAAATATATTAACAAAATATTATTTAAAATAACAAAAAATTTTATTAGCAAGCCAATAATATATCTTTTAATAATTTATCTAATCTTTAAGATATTGGTAAATATCTTTATGATATTTTTATTTACTAAATAATATTTTAGGATTTAGTTTAGAATATTATTCAAGATATAACAAATTTTATAAATATCTTTAAATAATCAACTTTTTATTACATTATTAAATCATACATATTCCTTAATATATCAGTTAATTATATTTAAGATGATTTGTTTATATATTTTAGTTATTATTTTGAATTTTTTCTATGATTAATATAATAAGCAATATATCATCAAAATATTATTAAAATGACAAAAAAATTTTATTAGCAAGCCAATAATATATCTTTTTATAATTTATCAAATCTTTAAGATATATTTTTAATATTATTAAAATATTATCTTCTATCTTCTTTATAATAATAATATTTTTTAAATGATATTTTGATATTTTTTACTGTTTATTATCTAAAATATACCAAATTTTTCTATTATCTTTATTATATTAGCTTATTTTTAATTTCTTCTAATCTTATAACAGCCAACAAACTATTAGTCTACTATTATTTAAATGATTGTTTGATAATATTTGAATTATAATTTAATTTTAATCTGTGTTTATATAATATACAAATCATAAAATTTATTATAATATTAATTAATAATTAATACTAAAAATAGTTAGGTTTCAATTAGATTCTAATAAATTCTAATTAAATTAATAATTTTTATATTAATTTTTTATTTTTTTAATTTTTAATTAAAATTATTAATTATTAATTATAAAATTATGTATAAATAAATAAATAAATTAGAAAGATGTATAGTGACTTAGTGAAATAAATAAGTTTTTAACTCTTAAGTAAAAGGTTGAATATTCAAATCCTATTAATAGTAAAAATTTAAATAATTATCTATGTAATACTTATATTATAGCAGCTGTTTCTAATGATTAAATTAGAATACATATAATGATAATTGTAATAATATAAATAGCAGATTATAGGATATTTGTGTAAGTATAGCATTATATAAAAAAATGCAAACTAGTATTAGGTGTTATAAACTCTAAATAAGTTCTTGTATTTATATAAATTTGTTAAAATTGGGAAACAAGAAGTTCATTTAGAAAAACCTAAATAAAGAAGTAGTACAAATCTTTGATAGCACTACTGTAAAGGTTAGTCTTAGGAAATAAATACCAATTTTGAAATATCTAGATGAACAAGAACCTTTAGGTTGGAAGTTTTAAAAATATTACAACTAGGTTAACAGAACAAACTAGAAGAAAAGAATATTATGCTAATCTAATATGCTAATAGACTAATTATAGTTCTATTAAGCTATCTAAATTGGGAATTTAAAGAACAAGTAGAGTATACTAAAATAATTTGAATATGCTATAAAGTAGATGCTAAGGTCTGAGTAAATTCTATAAGAACATAGCATTTTAATAACTAGCTTTGATTGCAAGTATTAGTTTTGTTATAATAATACTAGGTTAGCTACAAAAATAAATACAAAAAGCTTTAAAAGGTTTATTTTAAAGATAATAACCTAAATATGATTTAGTAATATTAATACAAATATAGGTTCAGAATATTTAAAATGAAATATCCAAACAAGAGTATTAGATATGACAATTGGTAGAAAACCTTTAGACAGACTTTTTAAATAGGTAATATAGAAAAGTTATATATATGACTAATTGTACACTTATCCTGTAATAGTTTATAGAATTATATTACTAAAAAAATTAATAATAAAAATCAAAAGACCAAAAAGGTTATCTTAATATTAAAAAAAAATAATAAATAAATTAGAAGTGTGATAACTTAATGAATTAAATAATTTGTCAATCTTCTAAATAACAGATTGTAAGTTCAAAACTTACTAAAGATGAAAGTTAAAAAAATACATCTGTATTATAGTAATAACATTCTATTAATTAGTTAAAATAATATATTTGTAATTATGATTATACTAGTATAATTAACAGATTAAATACATTTGTATATTCTTAGTTATAAAAAGAAATACAAGCTGGTTCTAAATAATACAAACTTAAAATAAATTCTTGTGTCTATATAAATTTGTAGAATTGGTAAAACTTAAAACTTATTTAAGAAGATCTAAGTAGAGAAGTAATATAAATCTTTAACAATATTATTGTAAAGACTAGATCTAGAAACAGATACTAATATAAAGAAATTGAGTAGGCAAAAATCTCAAGTAAAAGGTATGCCAACCAAACTGCTAAAAATTTTAAATTAGAAAACAATAATATTAAATATCAAAACTCTGATATATCAAAGACAGTTTACAGTTTTATCAGCTTATTTGGATTAAGAGTTTGATGACAAAACAGAAATATACTATAAGTACTAAAAATATATTATAAAATTAATACTAAGGTCTGAATAAACTTTACAAGATGAGTTCTGTTAATGTTCTATAAAAAATAAGTAGATTAGTTAACAGAAAAACTCTCAAAGTCTTATAATTAGATAACATACTCTAAAATGTATAATAACTTGATAGACATACAGAACAAAGACCATAATTGAGTTAGCTGACACTTAGATGTATAGAAACTTTTATACTATCTGTTGGATATAATATAAAAATCAAAGTATAAAATTAGATAATCTTCTAGCGGATTACAGTTATGACAACTAATATAGAACCTGTAGGTAAACTACTTAAATAGATAACTAAAAGTTGTATGTTTGGTTAGCTGTACACTCATCTTGTACAAGTTATATAACTATAATTAAAACACAATAAAAGGCAGTAGTTGCCAATAATCAATGACCTTAACAAAAGCAAAAAAAAAATAATTATGTTTAATTTTACTTATAAGCATAAAGCAAAAGACTTTTTTTAAAATTTATAAATTCTTTAAAATTTTAATTTAGAACTTATGTCTCGGAATCTAGATTCTAAATTAATATTTTAAAAATTTTATAAATTTAAAAAAAAATTTTTTGCTTTATACTTATAAGTAAAATTATGCATAATTTTATAATTAATAATTTTAGTTAATAACTAAAAAATAAAAACTCAGCATAAAAATTATTAATTTACTTAGAAACTATTAGAACCTAACTGGATCTAACTATTCTAATCAACACTATATAAACTTAATTAGACCAAGTCCCAATAAGACCATAAAAGATCAGCAAATATGCAATCACTAGATCAGGTGTAATGTGAACCATCTTTTGCACTCTAATAACAAAAATTCCTAGTATAGATCATGCATAAATCTCTATCCCTAAGATTTTAGTACTTTAAAATATTATGCATATTAAAGTTGTTTTGATTATTCGAAAAGATCTAATTGGTGCATATTTGTCTATTTGTCGATCTTTCATGGTCTTACCGTTATATTAGACCAACCCAATCAACTATGTAAGTAAGGATCGACAACTTACCTACCATCCAATATTGGCAAATAACGGCACGTGTACCAATCATCGAGAATTTTTTCATGATATTTTGGCACGAGATTACGTAATCATTTGTGCAAATTATCATAGGAAAAACTCACGTGGTCATATAAAACGCCGGGTAACATTATACGATAAATAATAGAAACTTTTTTCATCGGAATTAATTTCCAATATTGTATACTTCTTTAATAAGTTTTTGCCTGTGACCCTGTGCTAAATCGGCGTTGCAGTAGTGAAGTCTATATCGTATATAATAATAATTTTGAATGTCTTTGGTTAATATGCGTGCATAAGTTCAGTATTCGATATTTATAAAATGTGTTGTAATAATTTTTATTAATTTATACCGATCGAAAAACGACGTATGTCTATTCAAATTGAAAAATGTCTTATTTTCAATTGATAATTGACATAAATTGAGAAATGACGCATAATATTTATAGTATTTATTTTGAATATATATCAATAAATTTATTATGATATATAAATCAAATTTTTTATGAATTGTTGGTAACGTAATAATAAATTTTTATAAAATTAATTAAAAAAAAAATGTTTATGAATTTTTATCCAACCATTATACGAATAAACCCATTTGACGATACATTTATGAATTTTTATCCAACCATTATACGAATAAACCTATTTGATGAAACATTTTCAACATTCTTAATTTGAAATCATAATCATTTTCAATCTGTAATGATTTGTCAATATCCATAATTGCTTCTTTATGCTTTCTTTTAGAATAATATGTCATCCCACGAATTCTCAATGCAAATGCATTATTCGGGTTGATGTTTATTGATTTGTTTAAATCTTCAAGTGCTTCATCATATCTCCATTGCCTTCTGTAAACATCTCCGCGAGTCGTTAACGCCCATACATTATCTGGTTCTAGTTTTAATAAATTGTTAACGTCGTTAAGTGCATTTTCATAATTGTCTAATATTCCATAGGTTCTACCTCGATTTCCCAATGCCAATACATCATCCGGTTTTTTTTCTAATACTTTACTAAAATCCTCAAGTGCTCTATCATATTCTCCAATAGTTCTATATACGTCTCCGCGAATCCCAAGAAATGCTAAATGATTTGGTGAAATTTCTAATCCTCTGTTTAAATCTACAAGCGCTTCATCAAATTTTTTTATAGTTCTATAAATTGTAATACGATCCCTTAACGCATTTAAATCATTTGGATTAATTCGTAATGCTTCATTCAAATCCATTATTGCTTTATTACATTCGCCTAATGACTTATATGCAATTCCTCGACTTTTTAACGCAAATACATTATTTGGTTCAACTTCTAATGCTTTATTAAAATCTGTTACTGATTCTTTATATTTTTTTTTCTTTATATAAATGTCTCCACGACTTCTCAATGCATATGCATTATCTGGATTTGTTTCTATTGCCTTGTCTAAATATTTAAGTGCTTTATCATATTCCTTACGCATTCTACAAATTTCTCCACGAACTCCTAAAGCAATTGAATTATTTGGTTCAATTTCAGATGCTTTATCTAAATCTTTAATCGCTTCATCATAATTTTTCTTCGCTACATAAACTTTGGCTCGAGATGCCAATACATTTGAATTATTTGATTCAATTTCTAATGATTTGCTTAAATCTTTAAATGCTTCTTCATTTTTTTTCATTAATAAATAAATATCCCCACGAACTCCTAATGCATGACAATTATTTGGATCGATTTCTAATGCTTTATCTAAATCTTTAAGTGCTTCTTCATATTTTTTCATCATTCTGTAAATATTACCCCTGGCACTGAGTGCTTGTGCATTGTTAGGAGTATTTTCTAAGGATTTATTTAAACTAGAAAGTTCTTCTTTAAATTTCTCCACCATTATAAGTAATAGGTTTTCTTAGAGCAACAAACTTTTCGAAAAAAAAGATGCAAAGTTATATGTATTGCAGAGTGACAATCAGGAAATCCAAATATAGAACTCTATAAAAAACCCCCATTTAGACAGTCTAGTTTCACCTGTAAACAATTATATGCTGTGACCAGGGGAATTGCTTAATGTTTGAATTCTTAAAATAGGCGTACTGTATCACAAAGTTTCTACACCAGTATGCTGAACTATATGTGATACAGTTTGTCTCTTGATTTGAGATGTCCCGCTTGTAGATCTCCCACAAAAAACTGATCTTTTGATTTAATTGAATAAAAATCACGGGAAGAATTTTTTTTTTTGTGGGAGAGCTGCCAATTATCACAAACTAAGTTTATAGTCACCCTCTGAAAAATCTGGCCATTGCCACGGGTTAATTAATGACTTGCACAACTAAACAATCTGACTCAAACGTTGAGTACGATCACGACCCTACGTTCAAGATAAATATTTTGTTATCATTCTACTGAATTTTTATTATAAAAATGTACTAATCGATTTATTTACTTTCGTTTTGCTTATAAATACAAATTTTAACTATGATTAATTACATAATATTTTTGGTCATGTTATTTTGATTTTTAAATTAATTATGTTTCTTTTAGTCAACTATCCCTTAAACTGTTTTCCAGGCAAATTTGCCTGGAAATTACATGATTGATCTGTGATTAAGATATCAAATTATATTGAATTGTAGTCTAAATTGTAATATATACGTAGTTAAATTGACAGTTTAGGGATAATATTATCTAACAATAATATAAAAATTGCCATATAAAACTTAGAATCATATCATAATATTTCGGTTTTATTTTTTTGTAATTGTGGAAGGTACCCAGAAGATCCCGTCTTTATAAAATGAAAATTTTCATCGATGCTCGAGTTAAGGCAAACGATGCTCGAAATTCAGCGATTTCAATCTTCAGGCACAAATATTATTCAAGCACATAATATTTAAAATGCACATCTATTTTCATTTTGAAAAAAACTTCAGCAAATAACAGTAAATATAATTAAGCTACAATCTCAAAAAAATTAAGTTATACTTTCGTTACACTCAAGATAATATGGGCCGTTTTATGTTAAGGCAAAAATTTTTAACTTTATCTATAATATTAGCATATGTACGCAAATTTGAATATGCTTTATTAAGTGAATATAGTAATTTTTTTTTTTTTTGTACGCAAGTCTAATTGTATTACAACTAGTGATGCGGTAGAATCGTTCCAATAATAGTCGTCATACTATAGCAAGTAATATAGTTACGGCAAGTTACGGTAATGTGATGACTATTATTGGGACGATTCATCACTAGTTGTAATACAGTCGAATGTCCATAATTGTACCATCTTGGGACCGGCTATGAGAGTGTATGCCTTTAAAGAAAAATACCTTTAATAGTGAATAACTCATCCACTGATTCATTTTGGATGATTTTTGCCACTAAAATAACCATCTCAATTAGTCCATGAAAACGAACTCAAAATGTAAAACCCAATTACAGGATCCCGAAATCATTGTGTATTTGTATCATTTTAGATGTATCTTATCTAAAGTACGTACGTAATACAAACCAATAACGGTCGTGAGATTCTATGTTCTCTAGAATTGTCTCATCAAGACGTCATTTTGGTGGTAAAGTCACCCAAAACAGACCAATGGATCAAAGTCATGTTTTTTGAAAGACACATCATTTATGCTATTGTGAAACCGGAATATCGAGACCGATCACGTGAAAAATGCACGAAATGCAATAAGTGCAAAAATTAAACATTATTAAAAAAAATTAAATAATTGTAAATAGCTTTAATTAGGTTTAATAGATAATAAATAAAGGCCGAAATGGCCACTAACACTATTACCATTGTAAACCCCTATAAACATCGCTGTTCGTTCGAGTCTTTATCACGTGACTCACCCTACTTGTCTTCGTTGACCTAAAGTAACCGAAAGCCTTAATCACCCACCAGCCAAATCTAACACCCTCTCTAGTAAAGGTTACCTATCGTACGTCACACGAGATTTTGGATAGTGGAGCGACCGAGTCGCAGTTTTCCGAGCACAACACTATCCAAACATTTAATGATTATGTTCTAAATTTGCAAAGCCACTCTTTAATACGATTTCCACTAATAAACCAATTGCAGAGTGATGGTCAATCATGTGACTGAAAAGAGACATCATCGCCATTGCCAAAGGAAGCTGATTGAATCCAAGGATCATATGCAAATAATGCGGTAGCATATGTCAGTAACGTGGGTATAACATACCATCAAACGTGTGGGAAAGAAAGAAACGAGATAAAAATTAGGGATGAGAAAATCATGAATTTTTTAAAACTACTGCGCAGGCTGCGCAGCCTGCACAGCCTATCTGCAGCTAGTTTTTCATTCTATGGTAAAATTTCAATTTAATCTGTTATTTTATACAAACAAGTCATATAATAATTTGTATTATATAATTTTAAGGGGAATTTGCAG